GTAGCAACCCAGGAAAACACTATATTCATGCTCATTTTTATCAGTCATCCTTTCTCCCGTTCTCCATCCCTCCTTCCAAGTTTTTTGCTCCTTCCTAAATTCCTCTTCTTTAAATCTTAATCTGTCCCTAAATTTATCCTGTGTAGTTTTTTTTTTGGGGGGGGGGTGCTTGGTCTCTAATCCTTTTGCTGTCAAACAACATATTTTAGCTTCATCTACACTAGAGTCTCAAACTTTTTGGGTCCAAATCTGTAATAGAAATACAGGAAAACACGAGTTTTGCATGAAAATACTTATTCTTTCTAAACATGATGTCCTTGACATTTTCTATTCTGGTCTATTTAATTTTTTAAATGCTGGTTGGACTTAGTAAATTGACTTTAAAATCCATCAAAATCAATAGGATGAAATACAATGGGCTACTATATACAACATACTAGCAATAAGAGTGCCAAAGGAGAAAAGATTTCAAAGCAATTTTTTGACTGCCACTGAAGAGTAGAATAATAAATTATTAATTCATACCAAGTTTGGTTCCTTTACCCTAAAATAGCCTGGGCTTACTCCATAATATTAATCAACTCCCAGGAATTATGAAATATTTCAGAAAATTGCCAACATTATGCTATTTGTTTTTACACTGCTATACTAAAGTATGCCCTACATATCCATATGAAAAATAAATTCCTAAAATTCTTAAACTGTTACTCCTAACGTGCCCATTCTCACAGAGCAATAAATTCTTCAAAAAGAGAGACACACACACAATACCAAATGATTTTACTCATATATGGAATGTAAGAAATAAAACAAACAGAAGGCAAAAAAAACAAACCAACAAAACAGACTCTTCAACACAGAACAAAGTGGTGGTTGCCAGAGGGAAGTTGGATGGGAGGTATGGGTGAAACAGATAAAAGGGATTAAGAGTACTTTTATCTTGATGAGCACTGAGTAATGTATAGGATTGCTGAATCACTGTACTGCACACCTGAAAATAATACTGTGTTGGCTATACTTCCATTAAAAACAGAAACAAAAGAGAAATGCTAAAGAAATAGCCACTACTTACTGAACTTGCTTCTACCACGTACCAGCATTGTATTAGGTCAAAAAATTCTACTTCCTCACTATCATTCTTAGGAAAAGAATAATAGATGACTAGTATAAAGGAAACAAGTGCCCAATCTGTATTTCCAATGACATTTATGACAATCCTGAGGACTTAAAAATAAACTTAATCATCTGTATGAAACGAACACTTTGATGGTTTGGTATGACAAATTCTGCTAACATAAAGCTAGTAAGGAGCCACAGAAGTGAAGAACCAGGTGTCCCAGAAAAGATTCAGATACTTCTAATGAAGGCATTTCCACCTCACTTAATTGACCCACACCTGAAAAAATGTGAATTAGCTTTAAAACTACCCCAGTGAAAAGTTTAAACCACAGTACCCACTGAAGTGCTCTAGTAACAAGCTTATTATTAATCATTTAGATGTATGTGTGTGCATACACTAAATAATCTGTAAGATTATATTAAGGATAATTTAAGTGAAATATTACAAAGTATAAGATTCAGAAACCATCAAAAAAAAAAAAAAAAGATTCAGAAACCATCAAAAAAGTTATACAGATAGCCTTGCTTGCTTCTTTTGTATTGAGTAACATTATCCTACATGTATTCTTTAAGTAAGTTGGTAAAGAATTCCCTAAAATTCCAATTTCCTATTTCAAAGTAGAGGGTAGCCAATTCAATGAAAAATGCACTCATTTTAGTCACTGTTAGCAAATAAGTTTATAATATAAACGTTATTCTCACTTCTACAACTGTATTGTAACTAATGCTAGAGTTATATACTACTGACATCAAAACTATTACTTTATAAACAAACATTCAAACCATTATCATTTCACCAGTTAAAAAACAAGGACACAAAAGTCTTTCAAATCTTACTGGATATAACTAGAAAATATATATTATTAAATCTAAGTGGTCCATGGCCTTAAGGTACTCTTATCCCCTTGCTCTACTGCTCACTGCCTTAATTTCTTCTTCCTCTCTAAAACTCTACTTATTTCCTCCCTCAAGCCATCAGCACAAGCAAGGAATGCTGCCCTCCTCCCGACCAAAAAAACATATCTGAGTAAAATATCAGTTGTTTTTGTCATGATACTGTAATGAACAAAACATTAACTATACCAATGTAAAAGTGAAACGGACCATAACTAGGAATAAAGTGAAACTGATGGAAAGGAAGCAAGGCAGACAGAACCTTGGCTGACTCCATTTTTTAAAGTAGCCTATCACCAGCATTAAAAATAAGGCATAACTAGATGACACATTCATTAATGTAAACAGCCAAACACAAATATACACCATGTAATTCAGAGTATTTAACTACTACTGCTCTACTGTTGCAAACACTGAGTCTTTTAAAACTCAAACTAAAAAGTGTATCATTTAACACAAATCAGAATTATATTTAAGCCCAATGAACAATCCCTATAAATTTCCAATACCAACCAAAAAAATAATGTTTAAGAAATTAAATTGAAGTCATTTCACTATCTGGAAACTTCATCTGTTCTTTATATAATGTTAGATGATAAGAATAACATAGGACATGTCCCCAAAATGTAGCAATCAAGTTCAACGCAAACAACAGCTGATTTATTTCAATACTTAAATGGAGGAACAGACTGGCATTCTTAACCTAAATTCTCAAATAACTTAAAAATAATAAATACACCACTCAAGATACATCTTTTGACAGCTTTTCCATTCTTAACTTTTTCTTAGTCTTTACCCAAATGTCTATGGTTGGTAACTCCCACTTTTGAGACCTCACACTTAAAAATGCCTGACTAGACACTGCCTACCCCAACAGCGTACAAATTCCTTAAAAATTCTAGACTCTTTTTCTCTACTACTGAGAAAAATAATACAAATTTACTGGAGACTGTACATTTTTGTTACATCCTGTCAGACTTCTAAGGAGGCAAAATACTAAGGATACCACTGAAACTTAACTTACTTTAAACTGTGCAAAGTCCCTGGTTTGAAATACTCAAACATATTAAGAAAAATAAAGTATATTTGGCCAAATACTTACTTGACTTTTGGCTTAAACTAAATATGCATAAGCAAGTTTTTTAATAGAGATATAAGAAACAAAATCCAAGAAAACATCTTTGGTGAAAAAAATATAAATTATTCTAGCAAAACAGCAAAATACCTTCTTGCATGAAACTATGTAAACTCAACCAAAAGGCAACTGAGGATATGATTTTCTCTTTTACCACAATTTTAAAATCATATTTATTACTGGTGCATACATAGAGTTCTCCCATCATTTTGTAGATGAGAAAGAACAGCTACTAAATGATAATCATGATCATAGTCAAGAGTGTCCCTATGGTACTTAACTCAAGAACTGAAATTCTAAAAGTACCTAAACCTTTTCTTTAAATTTTCAAAACACTAAAAAAAAAATCTCTGAATCTAGGAAACATGGGATGCAAAACAACATACGTTTTGCAAAATATTTTACTCTACACATAAAAATAAAAGACGTATGAAACCAGTACCAAAGTCAATCAAAATTGTCTCAGTCTTAAGAGAGAAGATAGTTTAGAATTCTTACATTCCTAATATAAGCCTGGCGGTCTGTTTATAAAAATCATCCTGTTCACATTTATAAATACATACACATACACACACATTTTTAAATACCTCATGACATCAACTTGTTAGAAAACTTCTGATACTGGCAAGTTGGAGAAAGTTATTACCTATAGGCCATCTTGAATGAGTTATCTACCTAACCAACTAATTTTTTTTCCTAACCAACTAATTTTTCATAAATTTCAAATCAAAAAAATAAATGAACGAAATAGTCACCACTTGATTTTTACTTCAAGAAAATACAGCTTTACTTGGGAACAAAGACATTTCAGGACAAACATTTTCCAACAAACTAAAATTATTAATATTCCAAAGGTACAAACACTTCTTTAGCTAATACTCCTCAACAGCCGATGTACCAACACAGGTGTGGGTGGTGATGTGTGTTGTTCCAACAGAGCCGCTGGATGTTGGAATGTGCTCGCGTGTAACACGGGAAGCAGAACTTAAGCCAAGCCTTCAAGCCTGAAGGTCACATGGAGCGTCTGCGCTCATCTCTGATCTATGGCACTACAGCGGGTCTTCGAAATCACATCTCTATTTCAGGAAATGGAGACAAAAATCTCACCGGTTTAGATCTGCATTAAATTTATAGTCCGTCTAACCCTCAAGTGGGAGCTGTTCCCAAACATTCTCCACCAACTACTATCACAAAATTTTTTAACTATTATGTCATGCTATCTGAAGAACATGACAATTTTTGGAAAGCCCATGTTTAGTAGTTTCCTTTGTTTGTACCACAGGGAGATGAAAACAAATCCCCGAGATCACCACCTTCCAGTTCCTGTTGACCTAAGACGTTTCACTATCTCCTCCCCTTTTCAAGAGTGATTTCCAAAGACCGGGAAGGAATGCTTCCACCAATAAATACCTTTCAACTGAATGTGTGTTATTCCGCCATGCGTTAGGCAACTGTGAGCAATAATCCATTTTGCTCATCACAGAATTATTCAAAATCTCTTACTATTGACCTCTAAACATAAGTTCTTCCTCCTAAATTCCACATTAAATCAAGGCAATAATTGAGTCGCATGGTTTTACTCTTGGGAAAATATCTACCAAAAACTTAGCAAAAAAAAAAAAAAAAAAAAAAACTTGAATAATTGGTATCTATACCTTCACTGCACATACATTTAAATGTACGTACCATACCCATTATTTAAGTCTATGTTATAAATACATGGTACACGGACCATCTATCTGCCTATCTACACACTGATGACAGAGTCGACAGCTTACTCACGGTAACTCCCCTGCGACAATTAAATCCCAGCGCCCACCTCCAGGGAGCTTACTGAAAAATACAAACTCACCCCATTCCAGGTATTCAAGAATGTTCTTCTCCCTTCGCAGCGGAGAATTATTGCATTCATCATAAAGGCAGATGAGTATATCCAACAGCGTCTCCACACTGAAGCATTGCCCATTGGTCTGAGCGGGCCCGTCCAAAATGAACTGCTCCAACTGCCTCAAACGCACTTCCCCGGACATGTTTGCTTCGGGGTCCGCCGCTCTTCCCTTCAGTGAGTATTACGGTTTGCACTACGAGTATGTGATCCTAAATTTTACAAGGTGCGGTTTTAAAAATAAACCCTTCGTCCCGCACACCACTGTCGTGCACGGCAGGTACTGAATGACACCCCGACGCGCCAGGAAGCTCCCGTCACCGAAGCGTCTTCGATCCCGCACAGATGCATGTATCGGGAGGGAAAGTTACCATAAAATAGATCTCTAAAACATCTTAAAAAGAATAATACAATTAAGACGTATATTTAAATAAAATAATAATTAAAAGTACAGCGAACCAAAGAGTCAGGACTTCTTTAAAAAAAAGAAGAAGAAGAAAACAAAATACAACTCTTCTCCTTCATTCAAAATTCAGCTCGTGCAACACAATCCCGCAACGAATCCGGCTGCATCATTAATGAATCGGGTCCGATCCGCATCAGCAATTCACTTCCCGGGAAGGAGGAAGACGGAAAAGGGAGGAAAGCCCCAGAAGGTACATGGGGGAGGGAAAAGCTCGGCGCTGCTGCAAAGGCTGCCGCCCGCCGCTGCGAGAGCGCCCCGGCGGCGGCGGCGCGGCGGTGGCGGCGGCCGGGGAGGGGGCGAGGTCCCCGAGGCAGCCCCTCGGCTCGCCGCCCGCCCGGTCCCGCCCGGAGGACGCTCTTCCTTTCTCCTCCCGGCGTCCTCCTCCTCACGGCTCCGCGGCGAGTCGTCTCTCCCGCGGATTCCGGTCGAAACTCCTCATCTCCCTCGCAGCGTCTGCCGGGGCCTGACGCGCGGCGCGGCCGGGACGGGAGCGCGGGCTGCGGCGGCGCTCGCCCCGGCTCCGGGGGGCTGCGGCTACTCGGACGCCCGCGCCCGCCCCATGGCGGGGGTCGCCGGCCGGGGGCCTGCGCCGCGCCGGGCGGACAGCCGCTCTCCCCCCTCGGCCGCCCCAGGCTCCCGACGCCCTGGCGCGGGGCGGGCGGGGGGTTGGGGGGTCCGGATTCAGAGGACGCTGGCGACTCCTTCTCCCCCTTCTTCACGCCCCGGGGCTAAGGGCATCTTTCCCCGACGAGGCGCAGGAGGAGGGGTGGGTGCCGCCGCTGAGGCGAGCAGAGGCTGCGGCAGCCGGGCTCGCAGCCACTCCCTTCCTCTCCGTCCCACCCCTCCCCCGCCTTCCCGGCCTGGCGCGCTCGCGCCCTGGGCTCCGCGAGGCTCCCCCTGCCCCCGCCGCGCGCGCGCCGGCCCGAAGCGCGCCGCCGCGCCCGGATCCAATATGGCGACTCGGCCGCGGGCGCGCGCGAGCACGAGCGCACCGCCCCCTCCGCGCGCCGCCCCCGCTCGAGTCCGAGTCCGCGGGCCCAGCGGGGGTCGGTCCCGCGCCCGCGCGGAGCAGAGCGGAGGCCTCAGCGGGCCGCGGGCCGTTGCACCCCCCCCTCCCAACAGGACGGCCGGAGCCGGCGGGGCCGTGGCCGCCGCGACGTGGAACGCAGGGATGCAGGAGGACCCGCGGAGGCCTCTCGTGCGGACCGCCAGCGGGCCTCGCCCGGCGCGCTCGGAGCACCACCTGCCCCGCACGTTTGCTCTGGGTTTGGGGGTGGAGGGGCGCCTTCCAGGAGCTGCCGGCGTCAGGCTGCCCCCAGACCTGCGGAGGACCGTGCCTCTCTTACCGCCCCTCACCTGCGCACCACCCGCCCCGCCAAATGCGGTGCCCGAGCTCAGCCGACTGGCAGTTCCCCGGGTGTCTAATTACACCACTTCGTGTGTCATTCCCAGGACAAATGCAGTGACACACTTGTGGGCGCTACCGTCTTAGTCGGGAGAGTGTGTGCCAAGGGCACAATGCCCATCTCTCCTCCCGAAACTTTCCCTGCGCGCACCACTGGCTTTCTTCCTCCGGAACCACTCCAGCTGCTGCGTGTTCGTCCCCCGCCAGGGCTACCACCTACGGGGGTTCAGCGGATGCGGGGAGTCCGGACCGGGCTCCGCGGGCTTCGAACCTCCAGCCCCCGTGTGCGCGCACACGCACACACGCGCGCGCCCCGCACATGTGCCCCAGTGGCACTGCAGATGCTGGGCAGCAGCGGCAAGTCATTCGGCTGCCACGGCCCCTGACGCATTTAAGCATTTAGGGTCTTCCAGGTGTTTTCTAGTCTTGATTTCAGAAGAGACCTGTTTACTAATTTCTCATGGAAGGCCCCGCAGTGAAATGTATCACCAAACTGGGTCACTGCGCTTCTGTCATTTCCTCTCAAAATTGCCATCTCCTTTATAATTTTCCTCTGAAATATGATTATTTTATATTCTCTGCCTATGCCTGTGGGCCAATTATGTTTTCTGCTAATGCCCACAATTGCATCTTTTTTACCTCTTAGTAATATGGAAGCTGAGGAGCAACTAGAAATGAAATCTAAGAAATGAAGGCTAACGGAAATCATTCAAGTTTCTGTGATTCACAAAACACTATGAATTTCCCGTGAAATCTACGGTTGCGAGTCTACACTGGCCTGGCTTAAATAAGGACAGTATTATTTCCCATGTGCTGTTGACACAGAAGTGACTCTTAAACAAAAGGTGAATCATTTCTAGCCATGACGTCTATGTGTGTGTGTTGTCTAATTATGCAAGTAATAAAAGAAAAACGAAATGTTTAATCCTAACACAGATAAATTAATGTTTTGGTGTTTGTTATGCAAGGCTTCTTCCCACGCATTTTAACAAAATGATACAAAATAAAAGAGGTTTATAGCCTCCTCTTTTCACCTAGCAATATACTATAAACATCTCTTCAGCTCAACAAAGGTTCTTCAACAACATGGTTGCTAATAGTGAAGCCAAGACATTTTAACAATCCCATTTGACCTTGAGGTGGGGTAGCCAAGAAAGAAGCCCTTTCTTCAGCTTTTCCATCATAGAACTGACTCCAAGATACTTACCTATCCAACTTGAAAATAACTGTAAAGACAAGCTTGAAAGAACCTAAATATGTGAGGTTCCCATGAATACTAATTAACGGGGGAAGTATGTGAGATACAGATACATGTTTTTTAAAAGAACAGTAAAGCTGCCAGTCCTCTCTCTACCTATTCTGTTAGCACTTGGGTACCACCCACAGACCAGGGTATTGACGGTTGCTTAATAACCTTTTCCACATTATTTAGAGAGTCAAGGGGAGGACTTATTTTTATTTAAAAAAAAAAAAAAAAGGCACAAAGAGAAGGAAGAAGGTTGAACCCAATCAATTTGGCTTGAATAATTCAAGCTCAGAGACTTAATAATTAACTAGACACTAAACACATTGTGCGGGTGTTATTTTAAATGTTCCGGTTGAAGTGTGAACATGCTTGTTAATGAAACCGGTCTTAAGCCAAAGAAAGGCGCAGCCCCAGCAGCCCCACAGTGCTTGAAGTGTTCCTGGGAAGCCGGAGTGGCATGGTGTTCTCTGGGAAAGGAGCCTGGAGGAGATCTTTGTGAAATTCTGCTCAGGGACCTGCAGATCAGATGTACGCTACCACAAACACAATCTTTTTGAAATTATCATCAGAAGTTTTATACGAAGGTGCTGGGAATTATTCAAGACCGTTCAGGAAAGAAAAGACAGAATGGGACCAGAAGAGAGGAGAGTGAAAAGAGTAGGACAAGACAGGAGTCACTAAGCCCAGGCTCCAATGCAAGCTCTTTTCATCTATCTACTCCTCTGATTCTAACCTAAGAGCAAGAGAATCCAGGCACCAGCAAATATTTGTAACCACCAACCCTACTCTTACCTTGCTGTGTCTTACTCCAGAATGATGGCTGGTGGAGAATAGGACCCAAAGTGTGGTGCATGCCATATCGCATCCCCTTTCCACACAGTACAACCTGACCCTGCAAATGATCGACCTGCTTTATCACTCTCTGAGGTTGAAACCCCACTTGTCCTCACTTCACGTCTAGCTCCCAACATGAGTAACACCAACTGCAAAGGCTTACCTTATGAAAAAGGCAGACTTTGTAATTAATAATTGCTTCCTTTACAGAACACTGGCAGTGGGTAAACACTGTCCTGAGTCCTTTGGACACATTATTCTATTCAGTCATCATAAGCATAGGAAGTAGAAAAATTATCATCTCCATGTCATAGACGAGAAAACGAGGTCTAGGGAACTTAGATCCACAGCTAGCACGTGACCAAGGACCTGTGGGTCAACACCAGGCCCACCCGGCTCATGCCAGGGCCCATGGTTTGTTTTATTTGTGCATTTATTCATGCATTTATTTTTAGATTTTATTTTTAAGCAATCTCTACACCCAACATGGGGTCCAAACGTACAACCCCAAGATCAAGAATCACATCCTTTACCAACTAAGCGAAGCCAGCCAGGGAGCCCCAGAGCCCAGGGTTTTTTTGTTTTGTTTTGTTTGTTTGTTTTTTAAAGACTTTATTTATTTATTTGACAGAGAGATAAAGAGATAGAGCACAAGTAGGCAGAGTGACAGGCAGAGGGAGAGGGAGAAGGAGGCTTTCCACTGAGTAGGGAACCCAATGTGAGGCTAGATCCCAGGACCCCAGGACCATGACCTGAGCTGGCCGCCTAACCAAACGAGCCACCCAGGTGCCCCGAGGACCCAGGGTTTTAAAGATGACACAAGTGTGGTCTGAAAGTGCAGAATTCTATTGTAACCAAGAATCAGGAAAATAGAGTTGTCTGTTCACATATTTGGGCCTTAGAAATTGACATTCAGGCAAAAGAGGGAAACCGGTATGATGTGTCAGGGTACAACCAGGAAACCAGAAATCACCTATGTATTTGAACCAAGGGAACCATAATTCTGGGAAATGATTTCACAGGTGATAGCAGGACTGAGGAAACAGACAAGGGAGAACGAAGTTTTACCCAAACTACCACAAAAAAAAAAAAAAGATAAAACAAATGTTTTATCTCTGAACAAACATTAAGTGGTTTTGAAGTGCCTGGTTTTAACATAGGAGAAATTTTCACTCCTCTCTTTTCAAATTTATTTTGTTTTTTAATCCCTCAAAAAGGTGAAAAAACTAACCAACCAAACCCTACTCGTCTAGGGCAACTTTAATTAGGTTCACAGACTAAGGTCCCATTTGCTCATCAATGGATCTTATCTATCTTTAAATCTCTTGCTTAAACTTCTCATTAGAGCTCTGCATAAACAAGCTCTACCATAAATGGAATTTTCAAAAATATGCTTTGGGTCAAACATTACTGTACAGATAGTGTCAAGTATTGGACCTATTTAGGAAATTTGAACACTAAGAAGAGAGGTGGTCTTCTCTTGTA